ATATAAATAATAATTAATAGCAACTTTTTATATATTTTCGTAATGAAGTTAAATACCAAATGTGTAGAAAATTCGGTTCGCGTTGCGATTAAGACGAAAGCTTATGCGCTATTTTGCGAGTACGACGAAGATATAATTCTGGGTCCTGGGAGCTCGGTCTAAACTAGATCACGTCACCATTTTTATAAAAATTTTATTGCTTTCTTCATCCTGAATGACGATTGCGTCTTATAAGCATCGCATAACGCCACCAGCATACAAACAAGTGCACATAGAATAATATTTTATAAATATATTTATACTATGCTACTCAAACACCAATATATCTTTAATATTGAACAGATTTTCTATGGAATGGATACATAACGATTCATAAATTATATTTTCAGTAAATTTTAATAAAATATCTATTAAATAATTCATAAATATTCAAAGTTATACGTAATATAATTGACGAAATATTTAGATTTAGTACTTAAGCAAACAAATGAACAAACATTATAGCTTACTTTTAATAATCCGTATCTAAAACTAATATAACTTATTAACTAATATTTAAGAAAGCTTTTAAGAAGGTTTCTAATGTACAACTATGGAAGGACAAAATTATGTGAGAAAAGATGAAAGAGGAGCTTCAAAATTAAACGGCGATAATAACACAAAATATTACTAAAAATATATCTGAAACTATTAACGAAAAATTAAAGCCACTCATAGAAGAGCATAAAGCATTAAAAGAAGAAGTACTCACAATAAAAACCAAAGTCCAGTTCTTAGAAAAACAAAGCAAAATGAATAATATAATTATTCACGGAATACATGAATCAGAAAACAATAGCACTGAGTTGAAGCTTATTATTGAATATTTTAAGTCAGCAACAATACAAACATAAGTTTGACCAATGGGAAATCAGTAACGTATATTGGGGCAGAAAAACAATAAAAATTCAAGACCAATACTGATAACTTTAACATTAGCTTGGAGAAAGGTGGAACTTCAGAATAACAGAAAAATGTCTCCGAAAAATATATATGCAACATAGGAATTTCCAAAAGTAGTTTTAACTTTTAATCAAGATAAAAGAACTAAAAATTAAACTTAAAGAAAAAATTCTAACGGAAAACTGGTCTACATCAGATATCACAAACTAATAGATAAGGACAAACAAATTGAAAAAAGAAAACGGGCACCAAATTTGCATTGCAACCGGAAAATTTGCATTTGTAAAAAGAAGTAACAACGCTAGTAGGTTAGTCAATTTTGGTAACGAAAATAAATTATCCATTTTAAATAGCTTTTTCCAAAAAAGAATAACTAAAAAATGGACTTGGATTTCACCCGGCGGAAAGTACACAAACGAAATACATTTGTATATTACCGTGCCTGAGTCAAACCTGGTAACTCACTGATAAACAAGAAAACAAACTAACAGTATGTCAAAACAGCATCGAAAGGAGTGTTCTAGATCAGAAATTGAAAGATAGAGTAAAACTAGAAGAAATAAAAGACATCACAAATTTTAGAAATGCTGTTACTTCTAGTAAAATATGGAAATGGACTGGACACATTATGATAGAAGATAAATGGACGAAAATAGCGACAGAGTGGCTTCCTCGCTATGACAAAAGAAAACGAGGAAGACAAATAAAAAGCTGATATTAGTAGAGCAACTAGCCCTATGTAGCTACGTAAAGCTTGACACCGAGAAGAGTGGAAGCTCTTAGAGGAAGCCTATGTCCAAGGACATGCTGTAAAACAGAAATTAATCGGCTTAGCGATTAATTATTAGTGTTTATAGTACTTCATATTTTTATGTACTAGGGTAAGTAATTTACAGTAATGAAGGCTATTATTATTATTATTATAAAGAAGGTAGTCCAATAAAACAGCTTAAAAGTCGATTAAAATAATTATCAAACTATTATAGCTGTTTTGAATGTAATAATAAGTTTTGGCGAAATGTTTATACCAATATACAAACATTATTTATTAATGTTACCTACCTGGTACACTAATAATGATCATCAAATAGCTCTAATTTTAAATTTATTGCCAGTTCAAATCAAGTCAAGGCCGTAGAACGTTAGAGAAGAACTGGCAATAAAGTCTCGGCAACTCCTTTAAATCGCCATATTGAAAACAAAACACCGTAAATGAGTTTTAACGTGAGATATCAAAATTGACTCACTCGCTCGCTCATAACTTTCTCATATAAAATTTTATATTATTACACTCAATAAGATCTAAAAGTAATCACGTGACGTTAATAAAATATTGACTATATTATATGTATATCTATTATGGATGGGTTCGTTATTAATATTACATACACATTTTGTATAACGCGTGCTAATATTGGGGTTGGTACACATTGTATTTGCATCTTCCAAAATTCCTTTTTACTTTCCAACACAAAAGGCCCAAGTCGAATGTTATTTGACATCATCAAGAACGTTATAAAATCAAATGAACGTGTCTAAAAACTCTATTAAACAGCGTATTATTTGAAGAAAGTTGTAAAATAATGTTATTCCATAGAAAAGTGTTCCCCCTTGATGTTAACATCTATTCATACCAGCCAAGTCAAAATATTCGACAATTGTCCAATTTCAAATATTATACTTTTTTTAATATGTAGGATGTAGTATTAGGCTATGTTCACATGTAACACGCGTCAACGCGCGATCAAATTTGAAGAGAGTTCAGATGATGAGCGCTAATGTGCGTTGCGAGAGTACTCGTCAGTCTAATTTGGTAGAACGTAGAAAATGGACGTGGAAGAGGCTATTATTTTGTGGTTATATTATAAAGAAAAATATAGAAAAAGAAAACGTACACATTGGGTTCATCCAATTTTGAAAAATAGACCCAGTTTGTTATAAATATAATTACGAAAATTAACAAAATTACATGCGATCGCGATGAAAGCGCGCGCTCAACTGAACAGCATACGGACATTACATTAATCAAGCGCCAAGGCGATCACCTGCGTCTAGAGACTTTTTCTCTGCGCGCTCACGAGCGTTAACGCGCGCTCGGAACAGTTCTATGAAAATACCACAATGTCTAGTCGCGCGATTTGAAAACGCGCGTCAAATTTTTGCCATCTGAACATAGCCATAGGATACATAAAGGTTTTATCATCATTACGTTGGCCTGTTTTTAAGTACATGTTATGAAATAGAATGCCAAGGTCAAACCATTAACCGCCATGAGAACTTTCTTTCCCTAGATATATGATTTTCTCAATTCGCCATAAAAAATGTGATGGTATTTCTCATATTCTGTTATACAAAATATATGTGTACCAACACATAGGAACATAGATTTCGCAGGGTGTTTTGGTATATACTGAATCGTATGCATAAACATTACTAATATATTATTTAATACTAACATTTTCATATCATCAAATCTGATTTTACATACCTAAAGAAGCGTTCACCTATAATACCACGTTTATGAAAAAGCGAAAATTAATCTATACTAAATTCGAATTTTCTAAAAATATTCCTATCCTAAAAAATGGGGAAGACTAGAATATATGAATGATTTCCACAATAGCGATAAGGGTGGGATAATACGAGTATTTTAACATCTAGTAACAATAAAGATTCCATTACTTTCCACAAATCCTCACCAATTAATATAAACGGTACAAGAAAATGAACTGTCAAATGCCGTCACTCGTGTAAGCAGCCTGCTTCGCTTCTGGATTTTTAACCAAAGCGCCAGGCCTGAGCAATTAACGTTAATAAACGTAGCTATAGTGTCCATTATTTTCATATTTACCTTGGGTTCTCTGACACTAAGGGAGCGTTCAAGTATTACGTCACGAATTTTTGGAGATTCATGAAACCTCCCCCCCCCCCCCATGTAACGCGACGTAACGTTTTTCTGTACCCAATAGTAAAACGTTTCGTGACAATAAATTGATCAAATAATATTAATAATAACGCGTGATTCAATACCCGCCGGCGTCGTAACGTTTTACAAGAGGGGACCCCCCCCCAAAATTCGTTACATAATACTTATAACGCCCCCTAAGCTGATAAAACCGAAATTCTTGAAGTATACATCATTATATAAGCTTCATTAATCACGTTAATAAACATTGTCTAACCATTGACACCAACTTTGTTTTTGGTTACGTAGTAAAGCACAAATTGTGTCATGTATTCTTTAGTAGCAAAAACTCTTTGACTAATTCAACTTCTATCACTGAATACGACAAAATGTGACCAGTTTTCTTTTACTGACATCAGTTTATAAGCCATACGGCACAATTATCTACAACCCTTCATAGGTTCACCTCACATTGTCTACATTTTTCTTTTTCGGTACTGGTAAGAGTAAATTCCGTTTGTTATCGTATAGTACAAGTAGCGGCACGAAACTCTAGCGCTGACCGTTATTGCGCAGAAGTAAAAAAAAGGAACCTGAGGGGGGCTAGCGGAATGAAGAGCGGGCGCGCGTAGCGTCGATTGGCTCTCCAGTCGCATTCCGTCCCCCGCACCGATACGACGCCCCGCGCACGTCCCGTGTACAGTCGCGTCATTAATATTATTGTTACTGTTTAACACGTTTTGTTGTTTTTTGTTAAGTTTGAATTTGTTTGTTTTTTATTTTTTTAAGTTTGTTTGTGACTTTAAAGTCAAAATGCCTAGAACAAATACTGTTTTGAAAAGACAAGCCAGGAAAATGGTTTATGACGTGAATTGTTTTTTAAAAAGGGAATCGAACGAATTAATTGATTCTTTGAAACAAATCCAAAGTGAGATTCAGCCTAATATCGTTATTTAGGTAATCATTAATCAAAGTGGCATATAATGTAATGCGTGCGCGACAGTACACATGCGCAGCAATCCCCTCCACGTATCGGCCAGCGCTAGACTTACGTGCCGCTGCCTATAAGACTACTACGGTTTTTAATTTGCGCTGCATCATAGGTAAAACAAGTCAAACAGGAGCGCAGATCAGACCCGGAGAATGTAAATAATTAGATATCAGTTTCTTTAAACAAATTAGCCGGTGAATTGTTAAAACAAATATATCGACTGTTCTTCTCAGTTGTTTCAGCGCTTTCATCTTCAGAGTTCACGCTTTTTGACGCTGTTTCCGTGTGGAACTCGTGTCTGTATGTGCCTGAAATTTAAATTAAAGAAATTTTAACGATAAGAAGTGATATTATTTTTAGCTGAATATCAATGTAACAATATTCAAACGAATATTTATATTCTTAATTCTTTAGACCATAAGATCTAGATTCAGTCTATGGGAATAACTTTAACTCGGGTCTGGTCATGTGGCCATTTGTATACAAATCGTTTGTCGATATGGACTCACGCCTCCCAAAAACATTTATCTTTAGTCCCTAGGACTTGCACTTTTCAAAATAAGACGTCGAGTCGCGTTAGTAGATTGTGATTGGTCAATAACTCTATACCCATTCCCAGACGTTTGCAATTTCCTTTTCTTTATTGAGTATTGTATGTAAAAAAACATTGTGACCACACATTATACATTCAACTTAAATAGCAATTAGCATTAAAAAAATCTACTTACGTAATACATCTACGTGCTTGAAAAGTAACACAAAACTCAGTACGACTACATAAGGCATAAACAAAAAAAACGGTGTCCCTTAAAAATAAGAATGTGAAGAAAGTACCTCAAAAATTTTCGAGGAACACCGCACTTACATTATCCTTCAATTAATCTGTGTACAACAATCAAGCGTCACTAATAAAAAGCAAAATGAAATAAGGAATGTTTATTAAGCACTATTTCACAATAACAAGCATTATTGGTAGCTTAGTCAGTATGTCAATGTTTCACTAAATATTAGTCAGAAGCAAAAATCTTAATTTATAACAAATCACGTGTGCATACGGAACAATTAATTGAGAGTTAAAAACAACACAAAGTCATAAATAATCGTTCATTGTTTAATTAATCGAACTCCCTAAGCCTACAAAAAGATGTAGAAACTATATTTTGCAGGAATTCCCATATTTTTAACATTAAATAAATGTCAAAACCATTGAAAGGAAACTAAAAGTCAATGAACACCAATCACGACTATTTGTTTAAAATATTCGAGTTCCAGCAACATATAACAACACGTTCGCATTAAAAATCGACGTATGTTGTTAAAAGTTGGCGTTATGTTATGTCGTTTTATATCTAGGAAAGCCTTACCTTCTTGCTTTTACAAGGTATTTGTCGAATATATCGAGTGAGATCGCTTATCGATAATTACTTTTTTAGTACATTTCATATTTGAAGCTTGTAAAAGCGAGAAGCCACAGTATTTTTAAGAACTGGTATAGATAAATATAATACTTTTACTGAGTACAAGTGTTTTGTCCTTTTTGCACTCCCTAGAATAAAAATAGCACCAGAAAAGGACAGACTCATATAAGACTAGAATTATATCGATTTGGTATCATTTTAAACTTAATTAAAACATAATAATAATAGTCCCATATTGTATTAACATTTAGATTGTTTTTAAGGTTACTTTAATTTTAATCAAGTTTTTACGTTCTTCGTTATATATTTCGCCATTGATGTTATTATTACATAGGTTTTTAATGCGATGAAACTGAAGATTTTTTTCAGGTTAGGTATATTTTTTTACAGCCTGACCATATATTTGCTGATAGAAATAAAATTTAAAACATGTAAAAATTAAAGTACAAATTAAAACCGGATATTCATTGAAATCCCAGAATATAAAAATTAAACACGGTTGGTAACACATTTAAAAAATACAATATAGAACCTTATAGGTTAAAGTACAACACTTAGAAAACGATTAAATGCATTATCATCGCTCGGACTTCACGATCACTATAAATTCTTCTAAATTTTGCATAATCAAAATATCCCGGAAATATAAAAAATATATGTATTCATAATTAAGTACAGTATAATAGTAAAATAATGATTTATGACACAAAATCCGAGCTTTTAAACACCATTTAAGTAGCCATGCATTTTATTCGACTAGTAGAAAACTTATAAGTACACCCGTCGCGCAGCATAGAGTACTAAACCCATACTCCTTTGACTTCATAATATGTAAAAATGTCAAAAATTTATTATATAAGTTTGATTAAAGAAGAAAGATTACGATATAATAGAAATGTTTAACCTTTTAAGGCTAGATCACAGTATTAAAAGTAATGAAAAAGAAACGTACGTTCGACTCCAACGCACTTACACGCTGCAAACGAACGTACATGCGTAGAATGGTAATGCATCTAGTACAGCCCTGCGATTCTGTAACTCACGAAAGGTGAGTTACAGAATCGCAGGGCAGTACGCTTAAAGACAGAATCTTAAGGCTATTGCATATGCATACTATGCATGCAAGTCAATTGCATTAAGCACAACAATGTAACTGGTATCTACCAAAACGTGTCATAAAAAAAATCACTTGTGAAAGTCTGCCGTCAAATCATTCTAGTCACAAAAAACTATAAAGTTACAAGCAGACTTGTTAATAAATCTAAGTACATCGAAGTACTTCATCAGATCAATAAAGCATCAGGTGCATTTGAAGCAACTACACTTCAACTTCACACGTCTACAAAAACCATAACACTTGAGCGCTAAACAGCATAGGCCCTTTCGACTACTATCCGACTTGCAAGACTCCTTGCTATCTAATCTATGCAATTTAGGAACGTCATCTGACTCATTCAACAACCTGTCTAATCGACTTTTCAACTGCGTGGGCGACACGCTTCGATCCCGCGACAATTTCGATTTTAAATCGATCGTATCGATAATTTCCGTTTGTTCCTCGGACGATACTTCGACGTCAGGCGAATGAGAATCGACACTTTCCGGCGTGTATGGATCTAAGCATCGCCTGGGACTTAACAGGGACGTGTCAATATCATTAACGAATATATCGTTGTAACTACAATAATCCGCACTAGTTATCTGTACGTAGGGAATCCTAAATAACTTTTCGTTAAGAGAGCCCGTTCGCGTCCTTTTGAGTCTAAATTCGTCGGATAATAGTTTGTCTGGGTGACTGCTGTATAGAATTTTTGGAGTTTTGATCAAATCGGGGTCGGTTGGAATTCTACGCAAGGTAGGGGTTAGACGTGCGGGAGGTCTATTCTCTTTATCGGTACCTCGATCGCTCTGCAGCATCACCCGTAAATATATTGGCTGAAAAAGAATATCTAGATTAAGATACAAACAGTAAGGTTAAGGCAGACAAGAGAAGCGCTAGCTACTGCTATTTCAAACTAAAATTTACTAACTCTAAATAAATATGATTTATGAAGTCTAAGATAAAGTCGTACGTTGAAGGAAACTACGCTTTCAGAGAATGCACAAAAGTAACCATATTTAAATCTAATTTTAATAATATATATAGAATGGAAATGAAACGTACTTACGAAGTAAAGCGTTCTATTAAAGGTATTTTATGTGCTTGTAATGTTTTAAAAAATATACATAAATTTAAAGACTACAATAAAATTCGAGGAGTTTCAGAAATAATTGATGATGTTACCTTATGATCTCCCATACAAGTTGTGTCTCCAATAACTCCGTACTCATTCCTTCGCCTAGAAGGTGCGTCTATAAGACGTCTTATTTCAGAAGATTCACCGCCTTTGGGCGAACCCTCAGACTGATTGCGGACTAGTTTACGTCTGCCAGGCGATGCGTCCGAGTCTGAAACTCTGGAATTTTGAAATTATTTTTATGATTTTTTGTGAATTTACTGATGTGAAAAATCAACACATTTATATAAAAATAATCGTAAAACAATATTCAGTATAATTAAGCACGTTTTACAAAATTTCAAATAAATGCTGTTGTCACGGGATTAAAACGCGTTTTTGCAATCAAGCAAAAAATTGTTTTAAACCTTTTAAAGAAAAAACTTTTTAACCAGATTAAAGTTATGTATTATTATAAATTAACAATTATTTAACATAATTTTAAATTTATAATTAAAGTTATGTATTATTATAAATTTACAATTATTTAACATAATTTTAAATTTATAATTAAAGTTATGTATTATTATAAATTTACAATTATTTAACATAATTTTAAATTTATAATAATACATAACTTTAATGCGGTTAAAAAGTTTTTTCTTAAAATGTGTAAAGGTTATGTCAATAAAAGACAATACTATGTGCTTTAAACTTGTTAAAATGCTAGGTATATTTAGGATTTACCAAGATATGGAACACCAAAAACATCGATTAACAATTAGGCTATAACAATTATGCACCTCAAAACTCAACATTATATACATCTTACACAAGACAACATATACTTTGGATACACTTATACCCTTACAAGTTACTCACTGTTTTTTGGAAAAAAATGTACGCGACTTTAGCCTGAAAATTGGCATATCTATTAATTTATGTGGCTCAACACTTATTGTTCTTAGAAAATATTCCATAATATTTAATATGAATCAATAATTATTAAATATACGCAAATAGTTGTAAGTGACGTACGTGCGTAAAAATGCGGATACGTGCTTACACAATTGTATTTTTTCTTATTAACGCATTTTGTTACAGAATCTTCGGTGAAAATAACCTTAATTATATTTAAGTTTTTTTAGATATAACTTTTTTACGGATATAAATGTTTTAACTCGGGATTTACATAACGTTCTTAGCAGTCATCGTGATAATAGTGGTGGCAGTTTTAAATAACTCGCGTAAAGATAATAGGTTTTTGCCTCTCGAACTACCTTCAAGGTCTATGAATGAATTTTCTATCTATATATATCTTCGATAACATTTCATATTCGTATGTAAAGATTTGTAAATAGTATCTGTAATCCAACAATTGATCACAATAAGGCAATTAGGCCATTACCCCTAGTTATATATATATATTTACCTCGCATTTATAGCCTGCTGCACGCTGGTGGGATCAGCAATACTCTTTCTACTGACTGTAGTTACAGGAACATTCAAACCATCTATTTCAGCGACGCTGCCTTTTTTCTCGAGCTTTTTATTTGGACTCCACTGAAATATTATATTTATCTACTTGCTTAAAAAACCTATTAATGAAAAGGTAGAATATATTGAATGGTTTTATATGACGACAAATTCCGCAACATTTTACTCAAATAGTTAATGAACAACAATAACTTATTTCATGAAAAACTTGAGCAGCCCGTGGTCGTATTTGGAACTAAACAAACCAAATATGCACTGTTCGAATAATATACCTATAAACCAAATGTTTGTACAATGCTTTTGTTTTCAGGAACATTATCATAAGAACGTATACAATCCAAAACAATTGAAGTTTGACGTGTTATGCTATTTATTAGCACGTCGACATTGCACGGCTATTTAAAATAAATTTTAAAAAAAAATAGCCTCTGGTACGATAAAATAATTAATTAAAAGAATTTATTAAATTAGTTATAAAAATAAAAATAGCGTATTTATTTATGTACCTGGTTGTTATGTCTAGCTGGTGAGGCGGATCTGGCCGGGCTGCTATCTGACGAAGACAATCTTCCACTTCCACTGTCCGTCGAGTCTGTTACGGACTTCCTGCAAATTGCATATGCAATCATGAAATGTTTAGACTTACTTGGCTGAGACCAAGAAGCCTTGCTGATGTTTAGTGTATTTTGTACAAATATATACATAATATAAAAGACAAACTAAAAGAGGAATAGAAAAATAAAAGCGAATAGTCAAAGATGAACCAACCATGAGCTTTGTTATTATCTACGAAGTTCCAAGAAAACTTATAATGGAGTGTGTGTTTACTATACCATTAACGACTTGCAATGTGTACTTTCTTCACACACACACGCACACATGCACACACCCATAATCGTCTATATAAAACCTTTAAATTCTTACCTAGAGTTATGCACGCGATTTTCAGCTCTCTCTTGCACCAAAAGTCTCGCGGACTGTGAAAGAAGCACTCGGTCGCACCACGCTGGACACCTGCAATAAGTTATCATCTATATTTTTTAAATATAATATTATCTAACGACAGCCTTGACTCACGTTTAATATCATAGCTCAAACCGCAGAACTCTAAGTAACTCTAGTAGGCGTATATTTAATGTTGCTTTGTAGATGCCACAAATGAACCCAGGCAAAGCGTATTTTATTATTATAAAAGTTTCATATTTCTTTGGTATATCCCTCGATATATGTGACTACTTTCAAGTATTACGTAACGAATTTTGGGAGGGGGGGTCCTTTTGTAAAATGTTACGATGCGGGGCGGAGATTGAATTACGCGTTATTGTTAATATTATTTTCGACTTTCCAGTACTTTACACCACATAATGGTAACTTTAAGGTATAAAGAGTCACTTTGGTGGTCACGAAAAGTTTTACTATTGTGTACAGAAAAACGTTACGGCGCGTTACATGGGGGGGGGGGAGAAATAAACTCCAAAAATTGCGTGACGTAATACTTGAACGCTCCCATAGATGTATTTATAAGATTTTTCAAAAAAATATTTGAACCATCATTTTTGATGAAATATTTATAATAAAAATCACCGCCTCTATAACTTAGTTGGCCACGTTTATTTTTCTTGTGAAACAATCGTTGATCAAGTTTTGAATAGCACTAACTTGCTTCAAAAGGATAAATGAAACATCGTGTGCCCTACGGCATTTTAAAATTATTTAATAAATTCAACCCACCTAGTTTTCATATAATGTGTGGGCAAATGAACGTCTTCCTCGAAGGGGTAAGATGGCGGAAATTTAACCGGAAATTCGTACAAATGCGGTTTTAAGGCTTCTAATTCACGATCGTACTTTTGGAGCTGTAAAAAGAACACATAAGTTAAAATTAACCTGACAGGTAATTTTGTTTTTTTTTTCTGAGTTGATGTACGTGTAACTAATATACTATAATGTAACTCTATTCATAGCTGGAAGAATTTTAGAATAATGCTGTAATTAATAACTAAATACTCTCCAGTTCAATGCATAAGGTCTAAGTAAGTGGCACGCGAGGTTATCATTCTACAGCGACGAAAATATTCTTAGAAAAGTAACGTTTGCAATTTTACATACCCAGCCGGTATTTGAACCCATGACGTCATGACCGAACATGGTACTAGAACAGTGATGTGTTCAAATGTAAAAACAAAATTGTAAAAATATGATTTTTATTAAAATATATAATGAACTATAGGTATTGTATTAATACAACTCATTCTTATATATCGTGTATTTAAGATAGATCCTAAAAGATCTGGATATTCTTTCGGACCTTCTTCTTCGTTAGCACTCTTAGATTCTTTTGGTCTCTTTTTGTCATTTCTTTTACATAACTGTATTAATTACCGGCTTCCTACTATCGAGGACACACATTTTAGTTTGTGACAACAAAAAGACAAACTCTTTTTTTATGAGTGGCCTTGTTAGCGCCGCTATAAATATGCCTCAATAAGAGAAGGTTATGTCAACGATGTGTGACACGAATGATATGGCCAAGATGTTCTATATATATATTATTTTTTACATATTACCGTATTAATATATATTATTTTTTACATATTACCGTATTAATACGTGTACGTGTAACACGTACACATTATAAGTTGTATTAATTCTATACCCAATGTAATTTATTCAATGTTTTTTTTTTCAATAAAAATAAAATTTCTCCTATCGGCTGAAATTTAGCGGAAGGAAGCCTCCTCCAACCCGTATTAATTTACTACTCACTAATAATACTTCTTACCCAGGACTCCCTGAAGATCTTCTGATGGTCAACATGAGAGAACTCCTTCTTGCCAATTGTTAGAACCACTCTGTCTTCACTCTTAGATCGGTATTGCATCTTCGACGATTCAACATTTGCCCCATTTGACATTCGATTTGCGATTAAATTGTCGGTTATTCTCTGTAAATTAACGTGAGTAATTAAACGTCCAATTGATAAGCAATTACGGTTTTTTAAAAGTCCTTAAAAACATTATCAAAGATAGATTTTAGAGCAGTGTTGACTTTATTTTCTATATGCGCATTTATTTTGCATTATAATTTGTTTAACACTCGCTCGTTCGAAGGAAATCGTGAGGAAACCGGCATGCTTTAGATCCAAAAGAATCCACGGCGTGTGTCAGGCACAAAAGGCTACCTACTCGTCTATTAAGTCAAAAAATTATCACGAAACAGATATTTTAGACAAAGATCAAGGGTTATAGCGCTGTGTTTTTTTAGGTTTGCTTCGTTTATTATAATCAACTGTAAAATGATATTATAAGCATTAAAGATAAAGTTTTTTTATTTATTGTTCAAATAGATTTAATATTTGGGTTACGTTAGTGACTGTAATTTTGATAATTAAGGGAACAAGATCTTTGACTTTGAAATTGACAGCTTTCGGTAGAAGTCAATGTCACAGACTTATGTTATCCCTGATTTTTGAGAAATTCATCTAAACATGTTTTATTCAAATATTTTTTTAAATAATCTTTTGAGTCACGAACCTTCACAACCCCTCCAGTATCAGTTCGGAAGTTGAAGTCTCCAAATATGAAGTAAGGTGCAGCGTTGACATCAGAATGCAGGTGTCGTAAAGTATGACGTAACGCACGCCGTCGGCTACGGCAGTACACCTGTAAGATAATAAATGTCGTAATTTAGCAGCAGTATATTCTGCATATCCTTAACTGACATAAGGAAACCGCTAAACGTATAAAGTAGGTGCGTAAAATAACTACAGTAAACCCTATAATCAACATCAAGGGAGACCCAAAAATCGATTATAGATTTTCCTTTGGGGTTTCGACTTGGCGGTTTTGTTCGATAAGGTTTGAGTTTATCTTATAAATTTTGAGTTAGAGAGGTAAAATAAATAAAAATTCAACTTGCAGAGGTGACAAATATGTTTAGGTTTTGGGCTTTTTCTTGTACAGTGGTCCACTAACACTAATATTTTGCTGCGACCTGCTCACCATTTAGTAGCCTCTTCCAGCCCGGTATTCTGCAATTCGTCGTCTTTTGCAGGACAACTTTGCCGTTTTGTATTTTTCTCTGTGTCTGATCATTTTTTATTATTGTTGAAGGTACTCATTGGCGGCCAAATTGTTCAGCACTTTCTTTTTTTGCGCTCTTCCGCTTCGGCCTTCTAATTTTTCAGCAAGACTCAAGTTTTTGTTTCGTTTCCGCCTCTGTTACCTGTTGTACTAATTGTGTGTATTGCAGTAGAACCAACTCTTCTGACAGTATTTAAGTCGAAAACAATGACTGGCTTGCTAAATTTCCAAGGGAATCAAAATTGAACACCTGACACAGCAACAACCGTGTTTCCATGAGTCATCAATTTATTATTGTATACTCCTAAATGTTTTCTAAGAAACAATGTGTACTCACTTGGCGGCAAGTTCTTAGTCGGTACTTATTTTTGTTCGAACAATAGAGTAATAAATTCCAAATGATCAAGTTGTAAAGGTTGTAAAATAAACGTTCCTATGTTCGAGTACAGAGGTCAAATTTAATTTTTCGAGTTATAGAGTGAAAATATGTACCAAATGGCTTGGGGGCTCGGTATTATTTCGTTAACAGAGGGTCAAGGATTTCAAGTAATGGAGGTTTTGTGTTTTAGGGAAGGGAACAAACATTTTTTCGAGTTTAGGGTTTTTGCTTTCGAGGTTCGACTTAACGGGTTGTATTTAAATTATTATGATTTTTTATGACAGATTAATAATACTTCACGAGGATTCAGACTGGGAAACATTGAGTCTATTTCAGAAAATATAAAAAATTGAAGTAAAAAAAAACAAAATACCAACGGTTCAAATTTTACACATTAAAAATTTTATATCTTTAAATTCGACACCTAAATAGCTGGGCATTGACATAGATATTTTTTTACTTAAAATGGTTCCCAAATCTTACGCACTGTAATGTGTTGTTATAATGAATAAATGCATTATTTTGTAACTTCCCGACGCTTTTGTATGCAATTTCTGTAATTCTCTCAATAGCGCTGATGTCTCAATCTTGAGATGGTGCAAAAACTCATTTTTGTGATCGTGATCGCTGTCGGAATCGCTATTGGAAGGTTATTAAGGATTCTGGTGTGGAAAAGAAAAGCAAATGGTCAGGACTTGTAAGTCATCTTTTTCTGTTTCTTCTGCCAAGTAAGGTGCAAACGTCAATCTTACTAGTTATAAAAAAGAAGCATTTAAACAAGTGACATCTATCAACGATGACTTACAGAAGGATAAGGCTCCATTGCCATTAAGTTCGAAGCATCGTGAAACAAATGTATGTTCACAAACTCCACAGCTGTACCGCGAATGGACCAGCGTGTACGCAGGAATCCCTTGCGAGACCATTTGCACTGAAACAATATATGATTTGTTATTATAAAGACATCTAACTTCTGTGGGACAACAAATATATTTTTTTTTAAGTGAACGAAGCATCAAGTCACTTTAATGTGATTCGCCAACAGCGTAGACCAATCACAATCACGCGTTACGATCAGTAGTTGTCGTTTTTAACTGTAAGTTATTTTACGGGATGTAGTACCACATATTATGTCATGTTGCCCATGCATCAACCGCACTTTTGGAAGTTCAATTCACCTTTTTAATACCCACTATAAGCAAGATAGTTTATTTTATGTTATTCTAGTGAATTGAGATGGATTTTTTTGGCTCAGAAATACACAATTATTTTTTACTAAAGTCATGTTAAACTTATACGTATATCGTCGCTGTAAAAAGGACTTATTTATTAATAACATAAATAAGTCCTTACTTCATGATTATACCAGTTAAATGACATAAGTCTAAGAATAAAAAATAAATGTTTTTTTTTTCACAAACGAGATTATCATTCTACAGCGACGATATGATGATTCCAATTTGTTTCGTCCTGTTTACATAAAATTCTAAAAAATTAAACGCCGACTTCAGAATTTCTTACCTCAGGAAAGAAGTGCTGTGGAAACTTGACTTTCTCCTTAGTGGTGATCTTCTCAATGTTACCGCTGTTCACTTCTTTGCCCGTCACTTCTACGTAGTTCCGTCTCTCAAAGTCCCATATTTTGAGATCAGTCAGTGATGTATGTGCGAAGTACATGTTGCCAAGCGCCTGTCAATAACACCGAATAAAAATTGAAGGTACATTCCTAATTTAATTTATGAGAACCCAAAGCATTAATTCGGTAAAAATTAAAAATATATTTGACTAGTCTTAGAGTATGTTTCACAATGTACGGATAAGTTCTACATAAGTTCCAAATTAGCTATTTATTACTTATTGGTATAAACACTATTGTTGCGTTTCACGACTGTCAGATAGAGCTATTCGTCACATAAAGTCCATCATAAGTTAAGAGCCCGATGAATGTCAAATATCACAATTTATCTTCCAAATAATTTATGTGTTGCATAGCTATTTGGTACTTTATCCATACATTGTGAAACCCTTAGTGTGACAAAGCTCGAAATAATATTAACACTTTTATAGCGTTCCAACAGCGATCCCGACTTAAACATTAAGTTGTTGTCCCCCGTAATCCCAAGGTTTCGACATCATGGTTACGGATATTGAGAGTACCTATTGCATTTAACGAATTGCATTCAAAAACGTCGGGATGGGCAGACAGGAAGGCAGTGACAGAGTATGTGTGTGGGGGATGATGTTAAAGCCAAATTATTAAAATGTTTGATTGGGATTGATCATACATGTAGCGTTTATGTGACCCATCTCCATCATACTAACGACGAAATCATGTCGCTTACATCATATTCCGTTTTTCCGTTTGACGCGCGCCATACGCCGTTATATGTTTTTTTTCCTTTTATGTTATAAAATCTATATACATATATGTAAATAAAATTCTCGTGTCACAGTTTTCGTTGCCATACTCCTCCAAAACGGCTCGACCGCTTCTCATGAAATTTTGTGTGCATATTGGGTATGTCTGAGAATCGGACAACATCTATTTTTCATCCCCCAACAGGGTAGTCCACCCCTAAATATTTTTATTTTATTTTTAGATATTTTTTTCTGTTTTTATTTTTTTATGATACAACATTAAAAAATACATACAAACCCCTAACTTTCACCCCTCTACGATCAACCCCTATTTTTTTATTATAAATGATATATATGGCAAAACGACGTTTGCCCGGTCAGCTAGTACATAGTAGCTAGTCAAGTAGTGGGTCCGCGAAATAAGGGTTTTTTAAAAACTTAAAGTTAAAATGAATACAACCGGTCCGATTTGAGGTCCGTTTAATACTGAATATTACAAGTATTCTATTATATTTATATCCTATTCTTAAAGGCCTACGTGACCGTTCTGCTGACACATTGTTCTCACGCTCTACAAGGAAACGTTACTTAGTAAGAACTAAGAGTGGTTCGTAAATCATGTAACAGCATTTCGGCTATTGAAATATAAAGGATCTTTGTACTACTATGTTGCAATGGTTTTGTTTATATAAAATATAATTATGGTGGTGACACACGAGGTTATATAACTCCTCCCTCCTTAAGAGCGAAATTATCAGGGGATTGCACATGCAAATTCTGATTATTTCGCCACTGCAACATATTAATAATCTTATTTTTTATAAAAAAACACAACAATTAGCAAAATACAATAAAAGAGTGCCTAAACTAATGCTTTTCACTTTCACTGAATTGCCCATTTCACTATCACTATCTCTGTTAAGTTGTTACAGCATGTAAGACATGTGTTGCCGGTCACTGAGCTCCATTCCTTGTAAGTTTACTGGATTCTGATTTTCCTTAGAGTTCACTGTTGACTGTAACTCCAGCAGCTTAATGGATGGGATACGTTCTGATGACATATTTTCTGTATATGAACGCTGATGATGTAATTGGATGTCATTGATGTTGAGATCGCAGGGTTAATCTATAGTAATGATATATTATGTTCCCTTTATAGAGTTTCGGCTTATCTCATTTTTGCAATTATTTTGAATAATGATTTGATTAATATTATTGTACCTTTACCTCTTCTATAATTACTGTATTCTGGTCACAGTTGGATGGGTTTTCCTTGAAGGTCATCAGCTCCTCAATGCATGTCGTTTCAGGATACGGTGCCCCTGTTTTCTTGTGTGCAGAGATAATAAATTTTCCTCAGAGACTTGTTTGCAAGGCTGTATAAGCGGTAAGTATGTTACACCTTTCACCAGGATATAGGGATATTTAGGAATGATTATTAAGGTTAGGTTTTTAGGGTCATGAAAGATAGGTAAGGGATACATTTTATTATAACTATAAGTTGAATTGGTTATTAAAGCTACCTCTAATACAAAAGTTATTTTCCTGTCTATCATGTATGATTTTACATTAATCGTATCTTCTAATTTAACTAAATTATCCCAAGTGGGTGGATACATAAGATTTTCTGACTGTGATATATAAATTAAAATCTGTAATAAATGTGTAAAACATTGGTTGTGGTGAAAGCCAAAGCAATTTCTAATTCGCTTATTTTTTATATAAAGCGTTCTAAAATTACTTACAAAAAGATTATATAAACTTAAAACATATGTAGAGTATACTGCATTATTTTCTTTAGTACTTATGTCTTTTAACATTTTTTTCTACACGTTTTAGTCTTTCGTCCATAATTTTTGAGTTATTGTGTAATATTTCTGATGAATTAATGAGTCCATTTAACATTTTGGAAACAACTGTTAAACGCTTGTTTGTTGAAATTTTGTTGATTACCTAATTGATTAATTTACTGTTCATATCGTTGAGCATCTTCCTGATCTAAGTTTCCAGTTATCATTTTAATAATAGAGCCTAGAGGGTTCAATATTCCTCTTCGTACTCGGTGTGAAGGGATTATTTCCCTAATCTTTTCAGTAGTTATTCTTTGCAAATACTCTACTTGTTCCCTAATTCCTAAAAATTCTTTAAACTAAGGCTTATCATCACTTACTATCTTACTAAAATTACTATATTTCCTATTGTTATATTCTAATTCCATTAGTAGGCCATTCAAATCTAATACCTTAAAAATAAGCCAGTTATCCTGTTTGATGAAGGATGTTCCCTGTCTTACGGATCCCTGAATTGTTTTCAACCTTTTGAAGTTGAAGGCCCAAGCTGGGGCTCGTGAGTGTCATCGTGATCACTAAGCACCACCTTTGGAGGTCGTTTTATGTTTTTAATTGGTACCTTTTTGTGTTTACCTCTAATTTTAATAGGGATGGTGTTTCTTTCAGGTTTTCCTGTAACTATGGCCTTTTCAAAACAAGGTTTGTACTTACTTCTACGAGTGTTTATTAATTTTGTGAAAATTGTTTTCCCTTCTGGTAACGGGACGTCGGATTCGCCACCGCGTTTTTCTCTAGAGTTTTCCTTAAACGTTAACATTTTATCAGATATGATTTTGTATAAAACTTTTATTCTTTTGGCGTGATCTTTAATTAATTTTTGCAAGTATCGTTTCTCGAAGTCTATATTGAATGCGTTTTCAGAATCTACATGGCCAAACACTACTTCAAACGGTGTTAAAGTTGTTACAGTATGAATCGCATTATTATATGCCATGATGAGTGATATAATAGATGCGGCGTCGGTACATTGTTGTTCGTATTTTGTCAGTCTGTAAATTTCAATTAAGGTGGAATGAAAACGTTTAACTATTCCCATTGCATTAGGGTTCCTAGGTGTGTCGATATGTATTTGGATTCTATAGAGTGACATCATTTCTTTCAATAGATCGTTGTTGAATTCAGTACCAGAGTCGCAGCTTATTTTCTTAGGTATGCCGTAAAATGAAAAGTATTTTATTAGTGCGCGGATAACGTCAGGTGTGCCTTTGATAGTAATTTCAATTGCCTGTCTTAGTTTGCTAAAAGCGTAAGCTAAGGTGAGGTATGTTTTTCCTTCGGTACTAAATATATCTATAAATAATTCCTGGAATGGGGCGTCTTGCGTTTGAGTTAACTGTAAATATGGTTTCAAAGGCTTTCGGTCATATTTCATTTGTTTACAGGCTTCACAAGAATTAATTACTGCTGATATAGTTTCTTTCATGTTATTCCAAAAGAAGTGTCGCCTGATGCGTGTAAAAGTTTCTTGAATACCTCTGTGACAGGTTTTTCCGAGATGAAATTTCAGAATAACGGCTTTCTGTTCATTTTCATCGTCAATAAAAACGATTCTTTCCGTACACTCATAAAATTAAATTGATCCACCTTTAAAAAGCCTAATTACCATGTTGCTGAATTGTTTGCGATGTTCCGTATTTTCGAAATATATAAAATATTTCTTTTTGGGTTTTATGTATTCTTTCAGGAATTGTTTGATTAAATAATTACACAATTACTCAATAATTTTAGCTCACAGAATTTGATGTGAATCTAAACTTATACTTACTTTAGGGGTTGCAGAATTTCATGCACTAACCTACTTACTTCTATGTTTCTTTAATTTACTTATTACAATTTACCTTTATATGAATTTAACTCTAACAAAGTCTTAAAACTATCGTTAAGATGAGAGATGTCAATCTCAAAATAACAAAAGAAAAGTGGAGAGGGCTGGATTTGAAAGGTGAAAAGGTGACTTACCAGTACATCGCTGCCTCAACACTCGCACAAAACACCCTTAACGCTTTTGGATTTTTGTTCTTGACAAATTTATTTGTTCTTTTGAATAGCCGTTTTTAGCAATCGCGACGTAGTTTCCCCTTTTTAGGTAAGCAGAATTTGATGCTCGAACCGATAATTGAGAAGTACGTGCAGCTAGAGCGACTATCCTGTCCTCAGCGCCAGTCAAGTAGTGGGTCCGCGAAATAAGGGTTTTTTAAAAACTTAAAGTTAAAATGAATACAACCGGTCCGATTTGAGGTCCGTTTAATACTGAATATTACAAGTATTCTATTATATTTATATCCTATTCTTAAAGGCCTACGTGACCGTTCTGCTGACACATTGTTCTCACGCTCTACAAGGAAACGTTACTTAGTAAGAACTAAGAGTGGTTCGTAAATCATGTAACAGCATTTCGGCTATTGAAATATAAAGGATCTTTGTACTACTATGTTGCAATGGTTTTGTTTATATAAAATATAATTATGGTGGTGACACACG